CTTTATGACCACAGTGTACCATCTTCTGACCATATCCATCCCTTTATGACCACAGTGTACCATCTTCTGACCATATCCATCCCTTTATGACCACAGTGTACCATCTTCTGACCATATCCATCCCTTTATGACCAGTGTACCATCTTCTGACCATATCCATCCCTTTATGACCACAGTGTACCATCTTCTGACCATATCCATCCCTTTATGACCAAAGTGTACCATCTTCGGACCATGTCCATCACTTTATGACCACACTGTACCACCTTCTGATGGCTACTTCCAGCAGGATAACGCTCCATGTCATAAAGTGTGAATCATCTCAGACTGGTTTCTTGAACACGAGTTCAGTTCACTGTACTGGAATGGTTCCACAGTCACCAGATATCAATCCAATAGAGCATCTTTGGGATGTGCTGGAACAGGAGATTTACATCATGGACGTGCAAGCTGACAAATCTGCAGCAACTGTGTGATGCTATCATGTCAATCTAATGTATAATTATACAAAATGGAGGACCACAGGCACAGACTCTCTGCGGAATGTTTCCAGTACCTTTTTGAATCTATGCAACAAAGGATTGAGGCAGGTCTGAAGCCAAAAGGGGGTCCAACCCGGTACTAGCAAGGTGTACCTAATAAAGTGGCTGGTGAGTGTATTATAAGGAATTATGAAATTGGAGTCATTTTGGTCAAACCTTGAAAATTACCTTGTGTGTGTGATACTGCAAGATTTTTGAAATTTTCTAAATATTGTTATGAATCTAAAAACACATTTTACTACATGGTATAAAATTGAGAATTTGATAGTTTAAGGAATATTCTAAACATCAGACCAAGACAGTCGATACATCCAAACACTTTATTCATGCATACCTAATGTTGAAAGATCTGACTGCAGGGTTGATGCTTTCTACTCTCAGGGTCAACAGCTGTATGGGGGAGGTTGATTCAGGACTTAGCTGATGCTGTCTGGACTGTGTCACAGTCACATGACATTCACTCTGTAAGGCCATGTAGACGTAATAAGTTGTGACCTGGAGACAGAAACAGAAAGTGGACATGCGGACGATTGTATAATTATACAAAATACAACTAGAGGATAGCATTGTGTAGTAGTGGTTAGCGCTGTGTAGCAGTAGTTAGTGCTGTGTAGCAGTGGTTAGCATTGTGTAGCAGTGGTTAGCATTGTGTAGCATTAGTTAGCGCTGTGTAGCAGTGGTTAGCATTGTGTAGCAGTGGTTAGCATTGTAGCAGTGGTTAGCATTGTGTAGCAGTGGTTAGCATTGTGTAGCAGTAGTTACTATACAAACATCAGACCAAGACAGTCGATACATGGTTAGTGCTGTGTAGCAGTGGTTAGCATTGTGTAACAATGTTTAGCATTGTGCATCAGTGGTTAGCACTGTGTAACGTTGGTTAACCACTGTGTAGCAGAGGTTAGCCTTGTGTAGCTGTGGTTATCATTTGCTAACCCGCTAATACAAGAACTAATATTTTGCTGAGTGGTTTAGTTTTTGCATTAATTTTATGGTACATTAATGGACGTTACTTACACTATTTATTTTTCATCAAACATTAATCAAACACAGATCCACAGATTTATGTTTCACTTTGGTGAAGTTTCCCTTCTGTATGTAACAGAGTTGATGCAATCC